AGGAATGCCATTTCGTGTGCTGCGGGGAGGCGAGAGGACCAGCAGCGTGCGTCGGGGGCTCACCCTTGCTGGCCTGGGGTCCTGCTCTGCTCCGTGCCCTCCCAGGCCTGCAGCCAGCGCTAAGATGTGGCCCCTCCCCCTCCCGTGGGCCGGCTGTTGGCTCCAGGGCGGTGCATCCCGCCCGCTCTGAGGGGGCCTCGGGACCTCAGAGGAGGTGCCCAGGGCTTGGGTGCCTTCTGACCGCAGCTGAATTCCAGGATGATGATGGGTAAATAATGTGGCTTTTCCAGAGTCCACAGCTTGGGTGCTGAACGGGCGCCTCCTGCCAGGCTTTTCCCAAGTTAGAGCAGCCGGAGACCCTCCCCACCCCCGTCAGCAGCCGCTCTCCCACGGTGGGGGGGGCTGGGGGGTCACTGCTGCCAAGCCAGCCCCGCCCCACCCCAAGCCTTCCACTTCCAGGCTTAATATCCTCACTCTCCTCGCAGTTCCATTTCTGTCTAAGATCTCGTTGTCTTGGTCTCTCTGCGGGCAGGGCCACCCTGAACTCCCAGGGGGCACAGCCCACGCCCTGAAGGAGGGCGGAACCCACTGGGAGCGACACTCCAGAGAAAGGCCGCGGCCCAGCACCCCAGTCCTGCCGCTTCCCCTCCGCCACCCCACGCCAGGACTGCCGTCCCCAGCAGGACAGACTCCCCAACCCCGGCACTCACAGAGTCTCCAGGTTGCGCAGCCCCTCGAAGCTGTGGGTCCCCAGATGCTGGATGTGGTTGTTATGGAGATGCCTGTGTGGGAGAGGGGGGTCAGGACAGGTGCGCGCAGCACAGGGCTGGGGCTGCAGGGAAGCAGGCGCGCTCGCGGGGGAGGCGTGGACGGTGACCCCAGAGGGTCAGCCTTTGTCTCCAGGGACAAACCGACGGGCCAAGATGGACTTCGGGAGCCACAGTCTCCAAGGCTGGAGTGGCCAGGGGCTACGCCGTTCAGACTTCCTATCGAAGGAGAAAACCGGAGGCACTCCCCAGGCCGAGGCGAAGCAGACTCGCTCCCACCAGGCTCCCACCAGGCTCGAGGGGAGGGGCCCACGTCGGGGCCCCAGCTGGGGCTTCGTCTACGGGACCCAGCCGCCTGGCTCAGGGGTCACACGCACCTGCGGAAGCCGGCAGCAAACCACTGCAGACAGCGTGTCACTAAAGGGGAGCTTTGCGTTACAGCCAGAGTGAGCTGTGGGCCAGCTTGGAGATGGAGACGGGTGAGGCCAGGGGCGCCAAGGAAGGCTCCTTGGAGGCAGCGGCCCCGCGCAGGACCACAAGGTCGGGGACCAGGACACGCAGGGGTTAGGGCGCGCCAGGTGGAGGCGACGTGAGGACAGAGGCGGCCGGGGGCAGGGCTGAGGGCTTGGCCGGAGCACACGTGGGGAGAGGCCCGAGGTCAGTCTGGGGGGCTTCCAAGGTCAAGAGCGAGTTGAAAGTAACTGACAGAAGATTCTTCTCCCAATTCCTAGTGAGACGGACAAAAACAGCGGAGACAGGCGCCCCGCCCCACCCCAAGTCCTGCCAGCAGTAGCAGAGCAACGGCAGAGACAGAACATAAATAAAGGGCAGAGACTGCGGCCAAGGGAGCGTCCTCGTCAGAACCTGAACTGGTGAGAAAACAAGACCCTGAGGATTCTCCCTGCAGCCCCCAAATCTGAAGAGAGGCGGCTGTGGATGTCCTTTTCCCTCCCCACTGCGGGCTTCCAGGGAAGAGGGGAAGGGGAAGTAAAATGAAGGCTCCGGGCTCCTCGTGCACTGAGGAAACCACCTGAAGCTCAAGGGAACTCCTGCATTTACCACAACCTGACCCTGCCGAGGGACCACCCTACCTGCACCAGCACACCTGGGCACCCACAGGCAGGCGGACCCTCATTTACCCACCACTCTGGCCCACTAACTACAGCCTTGGGGGAGAGCCGAGGGGGCCAAGGGCATGCAGCTGTCGCAGCAGAAGCCATAAAGAGAAATCACACGGCAGTTGTGCAAACATACAACAGAAAGAGCAGAAGAGAGATGCCCAGGCCAGGCGACGTCCCGAGCCTAGAAGAAACCATAACGGATGAACGAGCAGCAAAGACATTATCACAGCTGCCTTCTGCTGCAAAACCACCCAGCAAAACATTTCAAAGTCAGCGTTTCTAAGTGAAAGCAAACATGACGATGTAGAGTAAGGAAATGAATTGAGGACCAAAAATACATCAGTAAAAAACCAGTCAGTGGGGCTTCCCTGGTGGCGCAGTGGTTAAGAATCCGCCTGCCAATGCAGAGGCCACAGGTGGGCTCAGCGACCGGATCCCAGCTGGTTCCCAGATCCCTGGTCCAGGAAGGTCCCACATGCCGTGGAGCAATGAAGCCCATGCGCCACAACTACTGAGCCTGTGCTCTGGAGCCCACGAGCCACAACTACTGAGCCCGTGCACCACAACTACTGAGCCCACGTGCCACAACTACTGAAGCCCGCGCGCCTAGAGCCCGTGCTCCGCAACAAGAGAAGCCCGCGCACCACAACAAAGAGTAGCCCCCGCTCACCGCAACTAGGAAAAGCCCACGCCCAGCAATGAAGACCCAATGCAGCCAAAAATAAATAAATATAATAATAATAATAATGAAAAGCTAGTCCATAAGTTTGAGACAAGGAACAGTATAGACACTGCTGGCAGTGGAATGGGTGTCAGAGAAAAAGCCTGAGCTAAAATGGTGAGCTTGGCTGCATGAGAGCGAAAGGCTAAAACAGCTGGAAACTAATGATGTGAGTCAACACTGGGCTATTGATGTCTCTGAGGGCCAGGACCCGAACATGAGACAAAGACGTATTCAAAATGCAACACAAAAGAAAACTCTCTACAATAAAGAATGAAATCCGCAGGTCAAAAGCATACATTGTTTCAGGAAAACTGGATGCAGAAAATTCCACACTGTGTCACATTCTAGTGAAGCTATTAAAGTTCAAGGATTAGAAGACATCTTCGGGAAGGAAAAGGAAATCACGTACACAGGGAAGAAATCAGACTGGCCTCCAAGATGTTCAGATGGCAACAGGCAGACCCCATCCTACGTGGTGGGCAGGGCCGGGGGTCTCAAGAGAAGGGGGCCCTTCCCCACCTGCTCCATGCCCAGGAGGCAGACAGACCCACCGCAGGGGCTTGGGTTTGAAGAGAGAACACAGCCCTGGCCTCTGGGAACAAGCCCCTCCCCGCCATGCTTCCTTCGCTGTCACCAAACTCCCCTTTCCCGCACCTCCCACTGAAGGTCATCTCCGTCCCCACCCCGTCCCCCAGCCCCACCAGCGCCTCTGGTCCACAGCATCTCAGCTTCTGACCGTGCAGCCCAGGCCTACAGATGACGACTGGGTCACCCCAGGCGTCCCGAGCGCCTTCTGCAGGCCAGCCTGTTGGGGCTTATGGTCCAGAGGAAGAGATGAGACCCCACACAGGAAAGCACTGCTGTCCAGTTCAGCGCCCCTCGGTCCCCTCAGGGCCGCGCAGAGCAGCCTGACCAAGGCCCAGCGTTCGGGTTGAAACGAAGGCCCTCTCCACCCGCTGGTTGCCTCACGCCTCCGGCCAGACCCCCGTCCACCCACCTTCTGACTCTGCCTCTGCGCTTGCCTGCAGCTCAGCCCTAGGTCCTGGACGGCTTTCTCCAGCCCACTCTGCCCTGCAAGGTCACCGGCCACAGCAGCCGATGTGCCCCGTCCCAGGGCCAGAGGAGTTGAAGGGCAGGGGCAATGCTTCTGCACTTTCTCCTCACTCAGCGTCGTGGGCCCCTGGCCCCTCCGCTCCTGTGCCCAGTGCCCCCCCCACCGGCCCCTCCTGGATCCGCGGTAGCCAAACTCCCCCACTCGCGCCCCCGACCTTGGCCTCCCACCCTGTGAAAGCCTCAAGTCGCATGGATTCTTCCTTCGCAACGTCCCTCAGGGCCACGCCTCTGTCTCCTCCCTAAGCTGGACTTTGCCTCCTAGATCCAGTCTCCCCTGTTCCCGCCCATCCTTCAAACCAGACTCCCAACCCCCTTCTCGCCTCCAGCCTCCCCTGCCCCGCGCAGGCCACAGCCAGACTCCTGCTCTGACTCTGACCCCCAGACGCACCTGCCCGGCCTTCTCTCTGGCCTCACTGGCGCGCTCGCCTCAGCCAACAGCCCGATGCCCCCGGCTCTTTGCTGACACCTGCTTGGAGCCCCCGCTATTCACCTGCCTGCTCTAAGCCAACCTTCCCGCCCGGCAGGCCCCCCCCTTCCCTCCTCCAGCTGCTTCGGCCGCCCTGAGCCCCGAGACGAGCCTGACTCAGCGTCCGGTCCCCTCGGCCTGAGTTAAGCGACAGCACTGCTGTCCTTCCCACCAGCATCCTGCTACTGACAGTGGCCCGCCAGCCTCTGAGGCAGCGGCCGGCTCTCCACCCCTGCACTCTGCGGGGCCCCCACGGGGCTCCGTACACCCTCCACTGCTCGCTTGTCGGGGCCCATCGTGAGGCCTGCATTTTTCCAGCAGTCTTGTCTCTCAGAGACCTGAAGCCGTTCATTCCCAGGGAACGTCACGATATCACAGGGCATCACCAAAGCTGGAATCAGCCACCCCATTCTGTTTCGCCGCCGTCAATACCCGCCACTGGCGCCCACAAGGAGGACTGTGTGGCCGTGCTGACAGAGGATGTGGTTCAGGAGGATGTTGGTCCCGCTTCTCCAGCCTCCCAGGACAGAGAATTAGACAAACTCATGCCTCATCCGCTCCCCGGTTTGGAAAATCATAGCAGATTTCCAAGAGCAGGGAGGCCTTACGTCCCCTCCCCACGGCAATTAGGATGTAACCCAAAGCAATTACACGTGACCTCCAAGCCCTTGGCAATTACCCTGTGAACTTTGCACTCCAAAGTTCCCCGGGGGGATGGTGGGGGGAGGACAGAGTTAACCCCGGGCTCCAGTTCCCGCCAGGGATGCTACCCCCCAGGGAACTGCCCGTCGGGGCTCTGCTGTCTAATTACCGTGCTGGCTTCTCTCTCCCTTCTCCAGGCCTGGGGACGAGGTGAGTTTATCCCACCCCTGTGCCAAAGCACAAGACTGCAACCACCCATTGCCCGACTGTCAAATACGGTGGAAATCTTTCGGGAGACCCTTGGCATGCATTCCCATTAGTGCGGAACAGTTACAGTATTTGCATATAATAGCAGAGGGAACCGCAGCTTAATTCCTCTCTTCCAGCCTCTCAGGGCACTTCTGATGTCGCCTGGCCTCACAATGGCCCCACGGGGCCAACAGGAGGCGGTCATCCTCACGTTACGAGGGGAAACGCAGACCAGAAGGTTCGGAAACCTCAGGAACACAGCCAAGAGCGGAGCTGTCGGGGGGGGTGCCAGGCTGGACACCAAAGGGGTGGCATACTCTTGCTTGGCCTTCTTGGTTAAATTTCAGTGTCACTTGTGTGTGTGTGTGTGTGTGTGTGTGTGTGTGTGTGGTGATGGTGGTGGTGGTGCGCCCGGAGTGGGGGTGGAACACGATGATAGAAGCAGTGACCCACAGATGCTTAGCAGTATTGAGAGAGTGGCAGGTGGGGGGGGGGGGGGGGGGGGCGGGCAGCACTCACAGCACCACGAGGCTGGACAGGTTCCGGAAGGCGTAGTCGGGGACGTGGCCTATGCGGTTCAGGGCCAGGGTCACGGCCTGCAGGGCGCGCAGATTGCCGAGGGCCCTGACGGGGATCTCGGTGAGCGCGTTGTCGTCCAGCCACAGGTGGCGGAGGGAGGACAGCCCCTCGAAGCTCCTGTCCGGGACCAGGGAGATGAGGTTGGCATCGAGGCGCCTGGTGGAGAGAGCGGAGGGTCAGTGCTGTGCCAGTGCAGCCTCCGAGGAGCCTGGGAATAAGGGACCCCGGGGCTCGCCTCGGCTCCGAGCCGCAGCTCTTGGCCCTTTCCGCCCTGCATTCCCGTCGGTGACGCAAGACTGGAACCACAGCCTGGTTGTGGACAACAGCGTTCCCCCTGCCACGCTCAAGTTCCTCATCTGTGCCGTGGCTCCCTGCTCTGGGGACGCTGTTCTCCCCAGCCCCGTCCACTCTGAGGCCAGATAACAGAGATGTTCCCACCACGGACACGGGGACAGCTCCTCCCTGGACGTGGCCAAAGGAAATGCCTCCTCAAAACCACAGCCGCTCCCTACTGCTCGGCCCTGGAGACCCTGCTCCCCGGCTCAAGGGGCCGGGTGTTGGACGGGGCTCCCTGCTTGGGTGATGGCCTACGGGAGGCTCCTGGATGTCAGAACAGGCAGACGGGTGGTGGACGGTCTGGTCTGTCCACAGCCAGAGGGTCCACGGTGGCAGAGGACTTCTGGTGTGAGGTCTCAACACTCTTGGCGGCCAGCAGGACAAGGAGACAGCCCACGTCAGCTTTTCACAGCTGTGCCCAAGCCACGATGTCCCTGACCAATGTGCCTCCTGGTCCAGGGCTCGGGCTGAAACCCCAACACCCCATGCAGCTGGTCCCACAGGGACGAGACAAGCTGGCCTGTAGCCGTGGATCTGCCCCTGGACTTTGCTGTCTTGAGGGGCTTTGCACTGAGGCCTGGTCCTCCGTGCGGGCAGATGGCACCTACGTCATGGAAACGCCAGCCCTCAACCACACAGGCCCGAAGGCCCCGTCATGCTGACCCTAAGGAAGACTGGGCGGTGGCGGAGGTGCCTTTCTTCCGTTCCAGCAGCACGAGCCCACGTGTCGACAGCCGGCATTGCTCCTGTCTGTTCCCTGAGCCGTTTCACCAGTGTCCCTCCCACCCCTGGGAGAAACCCCCAGGCTCACCAGCAGGGGAGCTGTGGGTGAACAGGGAGACACAGGAGCCTTGGATGGGAGAGCAAACCGACCAGGACAGGCCCCAAAAGCTGCAACTAGGAAAGACCTCCACCCTCATCAGACCTGACCTGACGGCCACAGGCCCTTCAGTGAGTGCCTGTCACTCGGTCACTGTCGTCAGACCCTCGATGGTCTGACTGTGCTGGTGACCTGGGGACCACAGGTGGAAACAGGCTCCAAGAGCCTACCCAGGATGGCCTGGTTCGGAAGGCCAGGGTGGGGCCTGGAATCTGTTTCTAAAGAGTGCCCTAGATGTTTCTATGCACAGACAGTTTGGAAAGTGCTGGATAAGCATCGACTACAAGGAGGACAGTGTCCCTGCCCTTCACAACTCAGTGGGAAGGTCGGAAGACGTTCCAGTGCAGTGTGATGGCTGGGGAGGCATTAGGAGTGGCCTCCAGGTGGAGGTGATGTTACGTGGAGACCTGGCTGACTAGGAGGAATCAGCCAGTGGAGGAGGGCGGTGTGTGGGAAAGAGAGCATCTTGCAGGGGACCCAAGCAGCCAGGCCCAGTCGGGGCTTCATGAAGGGCAAGGGGAAGCCGGAGGGAGCAGGACAGGTGCAGCCGGCGAGGCAGGCAGGGCTGGAGCTTGAGGGCCCTGCGAGCGATTCTGTGTTCTGTGTCAGGGAAACGGGGAGCCAGGGAGGGTTGTAAACAAAGAAGGACGTGGCCAGGTTTCTGGTGTTGAGGCGGGGTCAGCCTGGAGGCGGGCAGATGGGCGAAAAGACAGGTGCTCTGCACAAGCACCTCGCCCAGAAAGGGACAGGCACGTCCGTGGGAGCTCGAGGGGTAAGCCTGACCACTGCAGGGTCCAGACCCCAAAGGGTCCTCTCCTGAAGGAGCCCCTGTTACCCTGACCGGGGATGTCACGGTGCCGGCCTGGCAAGCTCCCTGGCACGGGGACCACCCCCGCCAGTTCTAGGAGCCTTTAGCATCCCCTGCAAAGTGCCCCGCACGGGACGCCCCTTCACCTCACGCCCCTGCCCAGTGTGCCATCACAGACCCTTGGAGGCAGCGCCTGAAGCCTCATCCTCATACAGTCGGAGGCGCCATTTACCAAGCATGCACTTGCTATGTTCCGGGGCATTGTATGTATCAAGTCATTTAATTTCACAGCCTATGAGGTTCACATTTTGCAAATGAGAAAAATGAGGTACAGAGAGGTTAAGTTACTTGCGCTAGGTCACACGTCTAGGAAGTGGTGAGGCTGGGATTCAAGTTCAGGCAATCCAGCTCCAGATAACACACCTCTAACCATCATGCTGTACCGCCAGCACGCTCCTGTGTCCACACGCCTCGCCGACCTCTGTGCCAACCTGGAGCTCCTCCCTCTGCCCCATCCACCATCTCCCGCACCCTGCACTCACACACCGCCTCTCCACCCCATCGAGCAGGCTTGGCCACACCGGCTCCGCCATCGCCCCCCCACCCGGCCTGCCCGCCCCTGGCCCCGGGCATCAGTTGCAGCAGATCGTCCTCTGGCAGTGTGGTCCACAGACCCTAAGCTCAGCACCACCAGGGAGCTGGTCGGAAAGGCAGAGTCTGAGGCCCCATCCCAGACTTTCTGGGTCAGAACCTGAATTCTAACCTCACTCCCAGGTCATCGGTTGGGTCATAAGCACATTAACGTCTCCCAGGCACCAAGCCAGGCCTTCCAGAGCTTTTGACGCTCTGGTCGGTGGCAGGGACAGCTGGACGGGAGAGGGAGCCTGAATGGGGAACCAGACGTTTTGTCCTGTGGTCAGTGCTCGGCTGGCCCTGGGGCCTTGCTCTGGGGTTCAGTCACCCATCACTCCAGGCCCCGGGCTCCAGCACCCGCTCCTGGGTACGTCATCTCCCGCACCCTCCACAGCACACCGTTCACAGACAGCAGTGTCCTCAAATAAACAGGGGAGCGACTCCGCAGCCTGCGGCTGGCCGAGCCACCAGTGGCCGGAGGGGACCCGGACAGACCTTCCTACCGGGCGTGGCCTTGCCCTGACACCCGTTCCACCGTGGTGAGGCTCTCACCCTCACCTCGCTCCCACCCACAGAGACCCCAGCAGATGTCCGGAGGCTCCTCATGGGCCTGGGGAGACCCCTAGTGGGGCAGCACCTTGGTCCCAGCTTTCCTAGAGACCGTGGGCAGGAAGCTGAGCCCTGAGTCCCACTTAGACCACACAGACCGCAGCCCCACAAATGGCCTTAAGGAAGGTAGGATTTAGGCCAGGACGGTGGCCGGTGGGGCTCATGAATGAGGGCCTCAGGCAGGGGGACACAGGGCCAGTGTGGATGCGAAGCGGGCACGGACTTCATACTCCCTTAGGTCAAATCCATGAGCACCCCCTCCCCATGGGACACGGGGAGTCGCGTGGGGCTGCAGCCTGGCTCTCGGCCGCTGTCTTTCCAGGGAGCCTGGGTCCCCGAGGCAGGGGTGCTCCCCCTCCAGTGACAACCATAACCCCGCAGAGTCACTGCTCCCACTTATGAGCCCTTGTCCTAGGCCAGGCCGGTACCAGGCGTGTGATCGGCATCCTGGCAGCAATGCCACGAGGGGTTCGGAGCGCGCGTTTCACAGAGGGACCAAGGTCGCTAGAGAGCTGGGGTTCCACCCAGGTGTCTGAGCCCAAATCCATGTGCCTCACCCACCGCGACACCGGTCCTGGGGGCGTGAGGAGGGTGAGGACCTGAGCGCCCGGGGAAGCGTCCCGCTGAAGGACAGCCTTAGACAGAAAGCGGAAGGCATGTGCCCCCTTCCCCGTTTCTTTGGAATCGCGTTCCAGAAAACTGCACAGCCGCCTCCCCTGACTGTGTGAGCGACGCGTTTCCAGGCAGCCAGGGCTCCAGCCCCCCACCCCGGCACCCCAATCCCCACTTCTGTGTCCACTCAGAGATCCCGGTTCCCGAAAACAACACAGCAGGAGGGAGGGGCGGGGGACGGTGGCACCTGCATCCTGGGAGGCCAGGGCCACTGCGCAGGAGGACAGCCTGAGTCAGGCATCTTGAGACAAAGCAGTTCTGGCCATGGCTCCACTGTGGCATCACTTGCGGAGCCGGTAAACCTCTAGTGCATGGGCCGGACCCAGAACCCCTGAGTCGTCGGTTCAGGGTGGAGGCTAAGCATAGCATCGTTTAACATTTCCTCTGGTGCGTCTCACGTTCAGCCGGGGAGCAAACCTTCACACTATGCAGTCCTCGGTGCAGTCCTTGGCCCAGGCAATCAGAGAACCACCCGCTGGGTGAAGTGGAGGCTTCCACGCGGGACACCAGAGCTACGAGCCCCTGCTTAGGTGCTGAAAACCGGCCTGGGGGTCACACACACCGACCTGCTTCCCATCCGTGTATCTGAGAAGCTGACTGAAACAGCCCCGGACAATGGAGAGCCAAACCGTGGGGAATCCACGTTGCCTCCTGGTGACAAACACCACGTCCCGATGAGATGCTGTCTCCTTAAAGATCAGGGGAAGCAGGACTCAAAGGGACATTCGTAAACCCACTGTCACAGCACGAGGACAGCAGCCAAAAGGTGGAAGCCATCCAACCGTCCATCACCGGATGATGGGTAAACAAAATGTGTACATACACACAGTGGACTATTATTCAGCCCTCAGAAGGAAGGAAATTCTGACACCTGCTACCACGTGGATGAACCTTGAGGACATGATGCTGAGTGAAATAAGCCAGACACCAAAGGACAAATACTGTGCGATTCCACTCACACGAGGTCCCTAGAGTAATAAATTCACAGAGACAGAAAGAGGAAGGGTGGGGGCCAGGGGCCAGGGGCTGGGGCGGGGGCTGGGGAGTGAGTGCTTAACAGGTGCAGAGTTTCAGTTTTGCAGGACGGCGGGAGGTCTGGGGATGGATGGGGGGCACGGTGACACAGTGATGTGATGCACTTAATGCCACTCAACTGCACACTTGACTATGATTAAGATGGAACATTTTATGTTATATAGATTTAACCACGATTTTTTT